TTCTAAGTGTGTAGTTGGAGATATTCTGCAGAGTTTTACAGAAGCTTCAACTGTCTAAGAGTTGTGCTAAGAGCTTTCTTTTCTACTGTTACAGTTAAGATTCATCTGTAGGAAAAGATTACTGATTGCACAAGGTTTGAATTCCTGTTGGTAATTAGAAGGCATTTGATTAGATTACTTGCTATTGATTGCCATTTAAATTAGCTATTGTTTGCAAATAAGCAGAGGCCTACCCAGGTGTTAACCCCTTAAGGACGGAGCCAAATGTACACGTTGTGAACAAAACCAAATTTAAACAAAACCTGGCACTTGCGCTACATGTCTGTCCAACTGTAATTCACCTCTTTCATAGTAATTATATATAATTTTATTCAGGAGAAACAGGGCTTTCATTTAATATCAAATATTTAGCTATGAAACATAATTTAATATGAAAAAAATGGGAGAAAATACGATTTTTTTTTTTTTTTTTTAGTTCTACATGACATTTTAACTGTCAGTGTCATAATACTGTTTGCTTTTACTGCAATAAAATACACATATTTGTATTCAGCAAAGTCTCACGTGTAAAACAGTACCCCCTATGTACAGGTTTTATGGCGTTTTGGGAAGTTACAGGGTCAAATATAGCGCGTTACATTTGAAATTCGCCAGATTGATTACGTTGCCTTTGAGACTGTATAGTAGCCCGGGAATGAAATTTACACCCATAATGGCATACCATTTGCAATAGTAGACAACCCAAGGTATTGCAAATGGGGTATGTCAGTCTTTTTTAGTAGCCATTTGGTCACAAACACTGGCCAAAGTTAGCGTTAGTATTTGTTTGTGTGTGAAAAATGCAAAAAACGCCAATTTTGGCCAGTGTTTGTGACTAAGTGGCTACTAAAAAGGACTGGACATACCCCGTTTGCAATACCTTGGGTTGTCTTCTTTTGCAAATGGTTGCCATCATAGGGGTAATTTTCATTCTTGGGCTACCATAGGGTCTCAAAGACAACGTAACCAATCTGGCAAATTTTAATGTGAAAAA